AGAGAGTGATCCTGCTGTGAATCTGAGAGACTTTCCCTCTTCAGAAAATAAAAAAAATACCCTTTGAATAAAAGAAATCCCTGTTCACATCTTAACCTATGCGTTTGACACACTGACATTCAATCAAGCGAAAGAGAGGCTTGGTAGGAATAGGCCATCACACACCAGCTTCAAACCATGACCTAAAGCAGAAATCCCAATAAAGGGCCTTCAATCACATTCCACTGCCAGGCTTCTCTCAGGAAGGATCCAGCTCAGGCATGGGCAAACTTTCTAACTTCTGCAAACTTTCTAACTTCTTGCCTACTTCTGATATGGAATCCTAGAGCTGGATGACACCCCCAAGGGCTATCCAGTCCAAACCCCTGCCATGCAAGAAGGCACAATCAAAGCACTCCCAAAAGCCTCTGTGGAAAAGCGTCCAGAGAGACTCAGCCACGCTTCCAGGCAGCCCAGGCCACTCTCCAGGAAGTTCTTCCTAATCTCTTTCCCTGCCATTTGAACCCATTGCTGCCTTGTGCTCTGGTCTCTAGAACAGCAGAAAGTCAGTTATCCTCCTGCTCCTCCTCAATGGGAGACCTTTTGAAATCTTGAAACAGGGTTCTCATGTTCACTCTCTACCGTCTCTTTTACCAGGAGGAAAGGAGGAAGGAAAAAGAGAAGGAAGGGAGGGAGGGAGGAAGAGAGGGATGGGAGGGTGGAAAGGAGGAAGGAAAGACAAAAGGGAAGGAAAGAAAGAAGGAATGATGGAAGGGAGGATGGATGGAAGGGAGGAAAGGAGGAAGAAGAGAGGGGAAAGGAAGGAAGAAAGAAGGAGAGAGGGAAAGCGTGGAAGGGAAGAAAGGAGGGAGGGAGGAAGAGGGAGGCAAGGAAGTGAGGGGGAGAGGGAAGGAGGAAGGAAAGAGAGAAGGAAGGATGAAAGGGTGGAAGGAAGGGAAGGAAGAAGGAAAAAGGGAAGGAAGAAGGAGAAAGGAAGGGGAGGGAGGGAGGAAGAGAAGGGTGGAAGAAAGGAAGGGAAGAAGAAAGAAAGGAGAAGGAAGGAAGGGGGGAGGGGGGGAGGAAAGAAAGAAGGAAGGAAGGACAAAAGGGAAAAAAGGAAAGAAGGAAAAAGAGGGTGAGAGAGAAGGAGGGAGGAAAGACAAAAGGGAAGGAAGGAAGAATGATGGAAGGATGGATGGATGGATGGATGGATGGATGGATGGAAGGAAGGAAGGAAGGAAGGAAGGAAGGAAGGAAGGAAGGAAAAAGAGAGAGGGGGAAGGAAGAAAGGGAGAGAGGGAAGGATGAAAGAGTGGAGAGAAGGAAGGCGGGAGAGAGAAAGAGGGAGGCAAGGAAGTGAGGGAGAGAGGAAAGGAGGAAGGAAAGAGAGAAGGAAGGAAAGACAAAAAGGAAGGAAGGATGAAAGGGTGGAAGGGAAGGAAGAAGGAAAAAGGGAAGGGAGGGAGGGAGGAAGAGAAGGGTGGAAGAAAGGAAGAAGAAAGGAAGGAGAAGGAAGGAGGGAGGGAGGAAAGAGGAAAGGAAGGAAGGATGAAAGGGAGAAAAGGGGAGGGAAGGAGGGAAAGAAGAAGGAAAGAGAGAAGGAAGGGAGGTTAGGATGGCAAGAGAGGGGAGGGCCTGAGAAAAGAGCCCAAGGGGCCGCATCCAACTCCTGGGCCTGGATTTGCTCATACCTAATCTAGCTCTTTGCCAATATATTTGACCACAGGGGGTCCTCCTTTACACTTTCCTCCCCCTCACAAGTATATCTTGCACACTTGAAAGGCACAAATGAGGCAAACGCTGAATTGTCTTATCACCCTAATGAGTAAGATATTCCGCATACAGACACATCCAAAAACAGCTCATTGCTATTCAGGAATGAATACACGAGCGAAATCATCGAGGAGAGGAACCATCCACGGCCCAATGAGCAAGAAAAACATGTTGCCAAGAAAATCAGAGGCACAGCAGTGAAAAAGATAACGTCTGAATTAAATATAATCTCAAGGGGGGGGGGGTGAGATAAAGAACGATGGGAAGGGGCTGAGATGATATATTTACATGGTCGGTGTTTGGCAAAACTTTAAAAGAAATCAAACAGCAAACACTGAATTTTGTAAAAATAAATAATGTGCTGATACAAATATTATAATTGCAATCAAAATTCAATTTTAACTTTTTTTTGCCCAAGATCTTCAAAACAGATAAAAACAAAGCTGGTTGCTTTCAAATGGTTTCAGTTATCTGTGGTCTGAAAATAACACTTGGTATAGATTTGGTACTAGTCATGGTTTTGAGACACCCACAAAGAAGTCTTCAACTGTGTTGGTCCAGATAAGAGTGGGGAGTGGGCTGTATGTAATAAGTGCTGTGTTGCCCAAAACAGGCATTTTTAACACAGGCATTTTGCAATATAGTTTACTGTCCTCTTTTTCACCGGAATACATTTTTAATATATCTTGGGATGGGCCACATATATTGCATAATGAGAAAATGCCATAGTCAGCTGCAAATGTACAAATAGGAATATGGAGTGTCGAAACGTTCTCTACAAGTGCCAAACCGCCTTTGGCCCCCTTCAAGGCATTGCTTTATACTTTCCTAAGTCTGCAGCTGTAATGCCAGCAAATAAGGCTGGACTATATGGACAAAACTTGATCCTATCTGCTGTTGAAGGCTCTCATGGCTGGAATCACTGGGTTGCTGTGAGTTTTCTGAGCTGTCTGGCCATTTTCCAGAAGCATTCTCTCCTGACGTTTCGCCAACATCTATGGCAGGCATCCTCAGAGGTTGAGAGGTCTGTCGGAAACTAGGCAAGTGGGGTTTACATATCTGTGGAATAATGTCCTGGGTGGAAGAAAGAACTCTTTTCTGTTGGAGGCAAGTGTGCATTAGCACTGAATGGCCTTATACCTTCAAAGCCTGGCTAGTTGCTGCCTGGGGGTCCTTTGTTGGGAGGTGTTAGCTGGCCCTGATTGTTTCATGTCAAGAATTCCCATGTTGTTTATGTGTTGTTCTTTTTTACTGGAGTTTTTTTTAATACTAATAGCCAGAGTTCATTTATTTTCATTGTTTCCTCCTTTCTGTTGAAATTGTCCACATGCTTGTGGATTTCAATGGCTTCTCTGTGTAATCTGACATGGTGGTTGTGAGAGTGGTCCAGCATTTCTGTGTTCTCAAATAATATGCTGCCTCCAGGTTGGTTCATCAGGTGCTCTGCTATGGCTGACTTTTCTGGTTGAGTTAGCATGACAGGAAACAATTTTAAAAAAAGCAGGCTGGAGTCAACTCATACTACTGGAGTCTATTCATATGTAATAAAAAAACAGGACATTTACTCACACGAAGACTTTGTTTTATACTTCAAGAAAAGAACTAGTTGTTTCTACTCAATGTGAATGTGGCAGTCCTGTTTTCTGATATGTGTATTTGTAATATATACATTGAATTAATTTAGTTATTTTCACATTACCACCATCAGTGGATTTGGGTCTCCACAGGAAACAATCAGGGCCAGCTAACACCTCCCAACAAAGGATTCCCCAGGCAAGAAGCAGCCAGGTTTCAAAGCTGCAAAGCTATTCAAAGGAACGGTGATTTGACGGACGAGACTGTTTTATTGTTCTAATGATTGTTTCATTGCTTGTGGACGTACTGTTTTTAACTTGATTTATGTCTAATTGTAGTGTATAATTGTAATTGTTTGTACTGGCACTGAATTTTGCCATTACTTATGTGTAAATTGCTTTGAGTCCCCATCAGGGTGAGAAAAGCGGTATACAAATACTGTAAATAAATAAAATAAAATAAATAATAAAGGCAGTCAATTGCAACATTCACACTTACCTCCAACAGACAAGAGTTCTTTCTCCCACCCTGGACATTACTCCACAGATACATAAGCTTCACTTGCCACATTTCCCATAGACCTCATAACCTCTGAGGATTTTTTTTTTTTGGGTTGTGTCAGGAGTGTCCTGTTGTGAGAGAATTGGCTGTCTGCAAGGACGTTGCCCAGGGAGCGTGTTTTTGATGTTTTATCATCCTTGTGGGAGGCTTCTCTCATGTCCCCGCATGAGGCTGGAGCTGATAGACAGAGCTCATCCGCCTCTCCCCGGATTCGAACCTGCGACCTGTCGGTCTTCAGTCCTGTCGGCACAGGGATTTAACCCACCGTGCCACCGGGGGCTCCACCTCTGAGGATGCCTGTCATAGAGGTGGGCGAAACGTCAGGAGAGAATGCTTTTGGAACATGGCCAGACAGCCCAGAAAACTCACAGCAACCCACTGATCCTATCTGTGTGTCAGATTAGGCCTACGGACCTCTAGCTGCTCACACAGCCTCTCCCAATCTGATGTCCAGAGATGTTGCTTTGCTTAGTCCAGCAATATTTCTTCTGGCAATCTGCAACTTTCCAGGTCCTCAGTCTCTTTCTAGGCATTTCTATTAATTGGAAATGCCCATAACTGAACTTGAGATTTTCTGTCTGCAAAGCATAATGTCTGCCTATGAGTGTATGGTCCTCTCTACCTCTCTCTCATATATACACACAAACACACACACACACACATTCTGTGCATGAGCTTAGCACTAGACAATTGTATGGCTAGTTGTTGTTGTTCATTCGTTCAGTCATCTCTGACTCTTCGTGACCTCATGGACCAGCCCACGCCAGAGCTCCCTATCGGCCGTCACCACCCCCAGCTCCTTCAAGGTCAAGTCCAGTCACTTCAAGGATGCCATCCATCCATCTTGCCCTTGGTCGGCCCCTCTTCCTTTTGCCTTCCACTTTCCCCAGCATAATTGTCTTCTCTAGGCTTTGCTGTCTCCTCATGATGTGGCCAAAGTACTTCAACTTTAGGTTCTTGTGGGTTTTTTCGGGCTATAGAGCCATGTTCTAGAGGCATTTCTCCTGACGTTTCGCCTGCATCTATGGCAAGCATCCTCAGAGGTGTGAGGTCTGGTGGAATTAGCACAAGAACCTAGTGATTCCAGCCATGAAAGCCTTCGACAATACTTCAACTTTGTCTCTAGTATCCTTCCCTCCAGTGAGCAGCTACATTTGGGCCAGAGTAAAATGAAAGTAAAATTAAACTATCTAAGAGGGCTGGGGAACCTGTGGCCTTCCACAGGTTGATCACTTAGGCATGAGAGCAACCAAAGTCCAAAAACACATGGAGGGCTGCAGGTTTCCCATCCCGTAATAAATCAGCAATGGAAGATTCCTAGCGCTCTGCCAAGTGTAGCACAAACAAAAGCTTTAGTCATCCCTACCATGGAGAGATTCAAAATGGAAACTCAAATAATTTAAAGAGAGAGAGAGAGTCCTTCACTCGATGCACTCTATCACATTTCCCGGCAGCTCAAAGCAGCGAAGGGGGCAAAAAGTACAAAAGTAGCTAATGGGAGGCAAACTCCGCGCAACTCTTTACCAATTGCATAGGCCTTCCCCATGGCTCTCCCCACCACACCCCACACACCCCAGAGTTCTAAAGCATTAACTAGAAAAGAGGTTGCCGTCCTGCGGGGACAAGGGCAGTGCTTGCGTGTTGCTGGATCCTGCAAAGAGGCAGCTCAGCTTGGGCGTCAGTTCATTCCAGACTTTGCTCATCTAGAGGAAAGAAGAGAATGGAGTGAGCTGTCACAAAGGCAAAGTTACAAGAGGGATCACAACCGGTGAACCAAAGGAAACAGGTCAAGTGTTTATAATTTCAAGAAAAACTGTAAACATCTGGCCACAATGTTCAATATGGAAATATGCAACGTGTTCCTAAATTGCCTCCTTGCCTATATAGCTGCCTGAGGCAATGAACAGTTGAAATATAACAATTTAAAAAAGAAAACAGTCTAAAAACAATGACAAACCACAATTTTAAAAAGTTAAAACAGAGCGATGCGTGGTTGAAGGCTTTCACAGCCAGAATCACTGGGTTGCTGTGAGGTTTCCGGGCTGTGTAGCCATGTTCCAGAAGCATTCTCTCCTGAGTTTTCACCCACATCTATGGCAGGCATCCTCAGAGGTTGTGAGGTCTGATGGAAACTAGGCAAGTAGGATATATACCATATATACTACAGTATAAGCCGACCCAAATATAAGCCGAGGAACCTAATTTTAGCACAAAAAAACTGGGAAAACATATTGACTCGAGTATAAGTCGGGATGCTTGTCTGTTCTTAAGGTGAAAGGTACATGTCTGTGTTTTAGATGGATTAGGGAACACCTGGTTTTCCCTGTAATAGGTGGTAAGGGCACCTAGAGCTTCGGAGAGTTTCTGTTCTACCATCTCAAAGCTCCCTGCTTGAGCAGTAATGAGAATGCTTCTGAAACATGGCCATACAGTCCGGAAAACTCACAGCAAGTGATTAAAACAGAGCAATTTGAAACATTAAAGGTCACTGGAAACTCAAGAGAGATGGCTCCAACCTAACTAAAGGGAGTCCCATAGTCAGGATGCTGCTAAAGAGAATCCCTTGTTATGTTTAGGACAAAGCATTCAAAAGCAGCCTTACCTCTTTATGCCCTTGGATCTGAGAGTTGACAAACGCCCCCAAAATGTGAGATGTGAGAGGAAGATAAATATGGATGAGCTGAGTCTCTTGGTGGAGGCAATACAAGGAGAAGTAATTGCGCAGCTCCATTGTCAGGATGGCGTTCTCTTGCTGGGAAATAAAAATGAATTACCAGGCTGTTCTGATGATACAGAAAGGGAAATTCAGATCTCTGCACTAGAATGTCCACAAGAAGCCCCACCATGTTAAATCCTCCCTCATATTATCTTTCTCTACTCTGGATTGTACTCAAGCAGCTTGCCAGTGGGCAAACAAGTGAGGAAGTGGGAAATAAGAGTTGGAAAGAGGCAATTGGGGGCCAGGAGGTGTAACAGAGCCGGGAAGAGCTGCCTCTGCTCCATAGGAATAAAGAGACACACATCCCAGCATGCACAAAAAAACCGCAAGTGGGATTCCAAGTGTCCTCTCTTCCTTGAAAGGAGCAAATGGAAGCCGTGTTGTATGTCAGCCCGTTCAGCCTGTGATTGTGTCTAATGATCAGGTTGCTTTGGATGATGGAAATGACAATGTCATTCATGTTCAAGGTGATTCCTCTGATGGGAATGGGGAGGCTGTTCATGAAGATGTTCCTGAAGGGAATGGGGATGATGGTCTGTTTCCTGAGCCTAATTTTAGGAATGTGGGGCCTGAATGCAGTTCAGTTGATGGCTTAGACACAGGCATGTAGCCGGGGGGGGGGGGGGGGCCTTGAGGGGCTTCAGCCACCCCCACCCCCGAAATTCTCATGGTGGTTCGCGAAAAGGCCATACTGGTGCATTATTTAGACCAGTGTTTCTCAACCTGGGGGTCGGGACCCCTATGGGGGTCGTGAGGGGGTGTCAGAGGGGTCGCCAAAGACCATCCGAAAACATGGTATTTTCTGTTGTTCATGGGGGTTCTGTGTGGAAAGTTTGGTCCAATTCTATCGTCGGTGGGGTTGAGAATATTATTTCATTGTGGGTGAACTATAAATCCCAACAAATACAACTCCCAAATGGCAAGGTCTATTTTCTCCAAACTCTACCAGTGTTCACATTTGGGCATATTGAGTATTTGTGCCAAGTTTGATCCAGATCCATCATTGCTTGAGTCCACAGTGTTCTCTGGATGTTGGTGAACTACAACTCCAAAAACTCAAGGTCAGTTTCCACCAGACTTCCCAGTATTTTCTCTTGGTCATGGGAATTCTGTGTGCCATGTTTGGTTCAATTCCATCATTGATGGAGTTCAGAAGGCTCTTTGATTTAAGGTGAACTATAAATCCCAGCAACTCCAGCATTACCAAATCAATCACCCCCAACCCCACCAGTATTCAAATTTTGGGTGCATCGGGTATTTGTGCCAAATTTGGTCCAGGGACTGAAAATACATCCTCCCTATCAGATATTTACATTACAATTCATAACAGTAGCAAAATTACAGTTATGAGGTAGCAACGAAAATAACGTTATGGTTGGGGGTCACCACAACATGAGGACCTGTATTAAGGGGTCGCGGCATTAGGAAGGTTGAGAACCACTGATTTAGACTGTTATGTTTATTCATATCATGATCGGATCACCATACTCAATATATCCCATATTCATGGGGGTATTGGGGTAATGATACAAAAGGTTTGCTAGGGTAGACCCTCTTTCACTCAGACTGAGCCCCCCCCTGAAACTCAGCCCCCCCCCCCCCCCCGAAACAAAATCCTGGCTACGGGCCTGTTTAGACAGGCCTGTGTTGCTGCAAAGGGAATCTCAAGGTCTTGAGTCTGGGAAAAGCTCTGAGCTCCAGTCCCAGGGTCAGTTATCTCCAGGTGCAGATTTTAATGAAGTCTTGAACAGGGGAAGAGCTTTTAGCCAGCAGAAACAAACAAATCAGAAACTAAGGTATGCCGCTCTGAGTCGCCTTCGGGCTGATATGGGCGGGGTAGAAATAATGCAAATAAATAAATAAATAAGGTGCCCAGTCAAATTAGAGTAGAAACTAGTAGAAAAACCAAAACTAAGGAAAAATCCATACCTAGCTGTTTGGGAAACAAAGTAGATTTATAGTGCCAAGTATGGAGTCTAGCTTCAAATGAAGCAACGTTGGATTCACAAATAGTTCTCCATGCCATGTTCCTGGACCCTGGTCTTTGTTTGATTCCTGTTTAAGTGCCTTTGCTGTTGTTTTTGCCTTTGAAATCAAGCCTCAACCATGAGATATTTCTTTCTTTCAGAAGAGCGTGGGGATATATAAGATGGGAATGTAACTAACAGCACTGGTATGGAGACGGGGGATGCCAGATGGACAAACTGGGAGCCCAGGAGGGTCAGACTTGGCTCTAGTTGCAAAAGTTCAATAGCCAAAACAGAGTCTTAAATGCAAAGGCAAAGTTTCCAAGATCCAAAGGCAAATAACATGAAGTATAATCCTTTAGCATTGGTTAAACAAGAATCCATAGCAGCATGACAAAGTCCTCAAAAATCAAGATCAAAACCAAAGTCCCAAAGAGCTAGAAGCTTACCCCAAAAGGTGACGTAATTTCAGAGAAGTTAACAGGGTGTAAGCAACATTGCACTGACAAAGGACAGATTTCAATCGGATCGTTAAATGTTTCCCCAGCATGAAAGCATTACGTTGACCTCAAACTTCCCGTTTGTTGGCAAGATGCGCACTTCGGCGAACCCTTAATTTCAAACGGTCCTCCCTAATCAAATCTCCACCATCTTCAAGGCCGGATACCTCATTATCCTGGGACTGGTCACCCTGGGAACCGAGAGGCACTGATCTCCCAGATGGGGCCGACTCTTACACCTGCTGCTGTGAAGTGTCACTATCTTTATCTAAAACAACATACCTTTCTCTGGGGAACAGAAATGCCGTCTCTTCTTCAGAATCAACACTGTCTGCCTCAATAACAGGGACATGTTCAGAAATCTGTAACCAATCATCCTCCTCGTCCTGAGGAAATTCAGGCTCAGAAAACTCAGGCTCAAAGTGAGCCACAACACATAGCCAGTTGTAGGGAGTAGCAAATCCCATAATCTAGGAGATTACCCCCAAGATAAGAAAATCCTATTTCTCCGCCCAAACTACTTGAATCTTGGCTTTCTAGCTTCTGAAATTCCACCACAAAAGACCAGAAAAGATGCGACTCTTTAGTCTGTGCTCAAAACTGCCCATTTCTGTGAAGGCATGGAGGACGCTTCCAAATAGGCCCTGTATCCCAGGATCTAATCCCAGGTTTTCTGTTTCAAACTGGATTATATGAGTCCGCACTGCCAGATAATTTGGGATAAACAGAAAACCTGGGATCAGATCCTGGGATACTGGAGTCACATAATAGACACAGATCTGAATGTTTAGTTGCAAAAGAGAGAGAGGACGGTACCTCCACAATCCGGGACTCCAGCTGCTCCACAGACTCTGGCTCCTTGTTCTGGACAGAGGCGCTCATCATCTGCCGCTTCATCATGCTGTATTTGTGCAAGGCCCGCTGGTGCTTGTGCAGAACTCCTTTCTCATGCCGCTCACACAGATCCTGCAAAAAATCAGGTTGTGGAACTGAGATGCCCTTGGGCTGCCTATATTCATTGTTTTCCAAATCCCTTGGACTGCACAGCATCTTATGAAACATTTTAGAAAGGCAGCAGCCTTCTGAGGAACTCTAATACTAATCTCTCCTTGTACGAGCCTGCTCATGCATAAAGGAAAGTATCTCCAGATGTACTGGAACTAGATCTCCTCCGATTCCTTAACACTGGCTAAGCTAGTTCAGCGGATACTTGGAGAGTTCCATGTTACTTCTCTCATATTAAAGGACATGTTATTCGTAATTTTTGTGTGTGTCAGGAGCTACTTGAGAAACTGCAAGTCACTTCTGGTGTGAGAGAATTGGCCATCTGAAAGGATGTTATCCAGGGGACACTTGGATGTGTTGATGATATACCATCCTTGAGGGAGGCTTCTCTCATGTTCCTGCATGGGGAGCTGAAGCTGACAGAGGGAGCTCACCTGCTCTCTCCCTGGATTCGAACCTCCAACCTGTCGGCACAAGAGTTTAACCCATTGTGCCACCAGGGGCTCCACGTGATAGCTCGACTCCAAATTCATGCTTTCACTAAGTCCGTTTTTGTGTCGGGATCTAAGGTGCTCACCTCAAGCTTTCCTCGATAGCCTTGCTCCTCAGGACAAAGATTTTGCTTTTTTGGAAGCCCTTTGTCTTGTAGAGACTGAACTGGGAGACATCGTTCCCACTGTTGGAGTCTCCAGGTGAGTGTTTAGTTCATTTATCGGGAATGTGCGATCCTTCCAGATAGGGACAGAATGCAACACTTTCCATCTCTATCCAACCCATCCAGTGGCAGGGATCGCAAGAGATGTTAGTCTTATCCCGTGTAAGAGAACCGCATGGTCCCCATGCCTTGCTTTAATGGAATAAACAGTCTCCTGGGTGACCTTATCATGGTTTCTAAACTGTTTCTATTTGTTGTCTCATTCATTGCTGTCACTGTTTTTCCATGGTACACTTTGGTATTTGTTTTATAATATTCTGATATATCTATATCTATATACCTGTGTGTATGTGGCTGGGGTGCCCACTTCCACAGACAGGCTCCCGCTTCCACAAACAGCTTTAACCCACAGTGCTGAGAAGCTACCAAAAGGCCTCCCAGCAATGACATTTCACATTATAGTGCGTGCCATGAATATGTGGCCCAGCCCCTGCCAATGTCCTCCCCAAACACCATACTGCCCATAATGCTTTCATTAGGGGACAATTTCATCCTAGATTTTATGTGTTTCCTCCACCACAGACATCCCAGTGTTTCATACTATATCCATTGGTGTGGAATTTGCATGGCCCCACCCACTCCCTTTCCCTTAACCCTTTCCTACTCTTTTCCACTCTGTCTGCACAACAAATAGAGCAGAACTAACCAGCAACTAAACATACTAGAGGAGTTTGGGGGATTGATTCCACATGATGGAAGTTGTAGTTCATCCTGCATCAAGTCAGAGCACTGTGACCCCCACTGACAATGGACCTGGATCACATTTGGTACACAGCACCCCTATAACCAAAGAAAAATACTGGAGAAGTTTTGGGGGGGAAGTCACTCTGATTGATAGCTGTTCTAAGTACTGGGATTTATAGTTCACCTGCAATCAAAGAGCACTCTGGACTCCGCCCTGGACCTCACCTGGCACACAGAACCACCATGACCAACTGAAAATACTAGAGGGGAACTGATCTTCATTTCTGGAAGTTGTAGTTCACTTACATCCAGAGACACTGAGACCACAACCGATGACAGATCTGGACCAAACTTGGCAGATGGAACCTCCATGACTAACCAAATCTACTGGAGGGATTTCAGGGGACTGACCCACCATGGTGGGACCTGTAGTTTATCCTGCAACCAGAGATAACACTGAACCCCACCAATGTTGCATCAAGAGCAAACTTGCCCAACATGACAAACTTTCACTACTCATGGAGTTTCAGGGGGTTAACCTGGCATGATGGGAGTTGTAGTTCATCTACAACCGGGACTGTGGCGCAGCTGGTTGGGATTCAGCTGCATTAAGGTCACTACTGACCGAAAGGTCATGAGTTCAAAGCCAGCCCAGGTTGGAGTGAGCTCCCGACCAAAATTGTGTAGCTTGTTGTCAACCTTTGCAGCCTGAAAGACAGTTGCATCTGTCAAGTAGGAAATTTAGGTACCACTTATGTGGGGAGGCTTATTTACCTGATTTACAGGGCCATAAAAAAAACCTCCAGGAAGTATGCAAATAATGAGGAAAGTACTTCATCAGTGTCACAAACGGACGGTGAAGTGACAGCTCTCTTGGTGGCCAGAAGCTGGAATGTTAAATAGCCTCTGAGTATCTGTCTATATATGTTGTGTGTCTATGGCATTGAATGTTTGCCATGTATATGTACATTGTAATCCTCCCTGAGTCCCCTGAGGGGTGAGAAGGGCAGAATATAAATACTGTAAATAAATAAATTATGCATTTTGTAAAATTAAAAAAATGACTTTTTTAATAGCCCGGGGCAAGCTAGTAAATCTAAATAAAACATAATTATCTTGTCATGAAATGACAGCACACTTTAACACAGAGCCAATTCTTCCTTCTTCAATTGGTAAGTAATAGTTTTGCAGAGTTTACAGATTTTTTTGGAGTTCAAAGTAATAATAATAATAATAATAATAATAATAATTCAATTAAAATAACAAAAGCTGGCTCAAACTCCCTGCCATCCCTGCCTGCATTAGTTATTACAAATGGTAAACAAACACGTCATAATGCCCAACACAGGAATTAACTTTTCCATAGTGCTGTTGACTGATGTTTTTTGCAACAAAAAAGGGACAAAAAGGCAGCTTTATGTATTTTAAAAATGAAGATGGGGTTAAAAGGTTCAAACCTCTGACCAAACCTCCATCACAAAGAACTGTCAAAAACCATCTGGAATCTGCATGTTGCCTCCTGGCCACAGGAAACCCAAACTGGTCTGGTTCTTCTCTACAGTACATTTTGAAAAACGCTATTAATTATCTCGTATTACATACGGAGCAGCGTTAGGGAGCACAGAGAACAGTCAAGGGCAGGAATAATGAGCAGAGCAGAGAAACTAATGAGTGCGGCCAAGTGCCTTTTCAGCCAGCAGAGTCTGACCTTTACCTGCCCTCCCAAGTGGCATCTCTAAAGCTGAACTAGTAGATCAAAATGGCCAAGCAAGTGGTCAGTTCACCAGAGAAGTCTTCAGTTCAAGTTTCATTGGAAGCCCTAGACCAGTGTTTCTCAACCTGGGGGTCGAGACCCCTGTGGGGGTCGCGAGGGGGTGTCAGAGGGGTCACCAAAGACCATCAGAAAACATAGTATTTTCTCTTTGTCATGGGTGTTCTGCGTGGGAAGTTTGGTCCAATTCTATCATTGGTGGGGTTCAGAATGCTATTTCATTGTGGGTGAACTATGAATCCCAACAACTACAACTCCCAAATGGCAAGGTCTATTTTCTCCAAACTCTACCAGTGTTCACATTTGGGCATATTGATTATCTGTGCCAAGTTTGATCCAGATCCATCACTGTTTGAGTCCACAGTGTTCTATGGATGTAGGTGAACTACAACTCCAAAAACTCAAGGTCAGTGTCCACCAGACTCTCCCAGTATTTCTCTTGGCCATGGGAATTCTGTGTGCCAAGTTTGATTCAATTGCATCATTGGTGGAGTTAGAATGCTCTTTGATTGTAAGTGAACTATAAATCCTAGCAACTACAACTCCCAAATGACAAAATCAATCTTCCCTCAATCCCACCAGTATTCAAATTTGAGCGAATTGGGTATTTGTGCCAAGTTTGGTAAAGTAAATGGAAATACATCCTGCATATCAGATATTTACATTACGATCAATAACAGTAGCAAAATTACAGTTTTGAAGTAGCAATGAAAATAATTTTATGGTTGGGGGTCACCACAACACGAGGAACTGTATTAAGGGGTCGCGGCATTAGGAAGGTTGAGAACCACTGGTTTAGATAGATGCAACCCTAGTCGTTGCAAATGTTTCTCTCTTCCATCTATATTATGGGGCATTTATTACACTTACATCCTATTTTTAAGATTCTGGCTGTCCCCCATGAATAATGCTCCCTAAAGATAAAGGTTTCCTCTTCACATTGAGTCTAGTTGAGTCTGACTCTGGTGGGGTGGTGCACATCTCAATTTCTAAGCCGAAGAGCTGGCGTTGTCTGTAGATACCTCCAAGGTCATGTGGCCGGCATGACTACATGGAGCACTGTTACCTTCCCACCAAAGCAGTATCTACTGATTTGTTTTCGAACTGCTAGGTTGGCAGAAGCTGGAGCTAACAGCGGGAGCTCACCCCATCCCAGGGATTTGACCCGCCAACCTTCCGGTCAGCAAGTTCTGCAGCTCAGCTGTTTAACCAGCTTCACCACTATTGCCCCTATCACTCCCTAAATACAATGAAATAGCACAATACAAAAGCAAGGATGTGTTGTCATTTAGACTGTGTAGAAATACAGGCTTGCAATGAAATGGATGCTATCTGCCCTTGTCCAGGATTAATAGAAAAGTAAGCTATTTTATGCAATTCATATTTGTCTGCATTGCTCAGGTCACATAACTCAACTATCTTGATGCAGATTTCCCTCCTCTATCATCTAGAGCAGGGGACCTCAAACTAAGGCCCGGGGGCCGGATATCGCCCCCCAAGGTCATTTACCCGGCCCTCGCTCAGGGTCAACCTAAGTCTGAAACCACTTGAAAGCATGCAACAACAATCCTAACTCATCAGCCAAAAGCAGGCCCACACTTCCCATTGAAATACTAATAAGTTTATATTTGTTAAAATTGTGGGAGTTGAAGTCCAAAACACCTGGAGGGCCGAAGTTTGCCCATGCCTGATCTAGAGGCATCCAAGATACAATGAACCTCTCACTGTCTCATATTTCCAACATCTAATTCAGACTCATGGCAAATTCTCTGGCTAGATTTCCACTGGCCTGATGCACTGCCTTCCTGCAAACGCACACAGCTGTTTCTGGGCAGCTGACACACACACTGGCAGAAAGAAAGCCAGACTCACTTTGTAAGACTGGAGTAAGTCCAGGAAAAGATTCAGCTTCTCCACCACATCACTCTCTTCCTGTTTACCCTAGAAAACCGAAGGACAAGCGAATGAAAGAGACAGTGTGAATTTGGGCAGCAAAGTACACACACGCACACACAAAGGACATTTACAAGTCTCCAATTTTAAAAAAATACAGTATAGAAGGAGTATTTAGGGTTCAAGGGCTTCATGGCTGAAGCTGTTGCTCCAAGGAGGAGGAAGGGAAGGGAAAGGACCCTGGAAACAGTACCCTGTGTGCCTTAATCTTGGGCACTCAAGACAGCTCTTAGATGCAGGAAGCGGTACGGCATGAAATATATACTTCAGTTTAACATCCTGACTGTGAGAGCCGTTCAGCAGTGGAACTCTCTGCCCCGGAGTGTGGTAGAGGCTCCTTCTTTGGAAGCTTTTAAACAGAGGCTGGATGGCCATCTGTCAGGGGTGATTTGAATGCAATATTCCTGCTTCTTGGCAGAATGGGGTTGGACTGGATGGCCCATGAGGTCTCTTCCAACTCTTTGATTCTATGATTCTATGAACATCACAGTTGAATCAGGTGATCTGTGCAGCCCAGTCAGACTTATATAACCACTGCCCGAGGCATCGTTCCCAACAAAAAGCAATTTTTGCAACCAAGCAATTTTTCCAACTACTTGTTCTACAAATGTTTTAGACAGATGTCAAAAAGTGCACACAACAAATGAAGGGAGGGAGGATGCCTGCAAGCCTCTGAAAACAGAGCAAGAGAATATGTCATTTAGGGCCCTTGTTCGATTTAATTCAAACTACCGTATATACTTGAATATAAGCCCTTTTCAGTCCCTTTTTAAGGTTGAAAAGTCTTCTTCCCCGGGTTATACTCAAGTCAAAGTTATTAATTGTATTACTGTGTTAATATTACTATTATTATTACATTTACTATTTTGTTCTATTAATAATAATAATAATTTCCATTATTTTATTCTATTATTTTTTATTTTACTCTATTATTATTATTATTATTATTATTATTATATTTACATTATTTTACTCCATTATTATTATTATTTATTATTATTATATTTATTATATTATTATGATATATTTATTATATATGATTATTGTATTTATTATATTATATTATTATTGTTATATATTATTGCATTTATTATTGCATATATATTATCATATTTATTATTAGTGTTTTTGTATTACAATACAGTATTGTTATATTATTAGTATCATTGTATTATATTTCTTAAACCAGAAATAGTTTTCTTAGTTCTACAGAGACACTCGTTGGAACACCTCAGCAAGCGAGAGTCCAAAAGTGGCAGGCTCAAACCCAGCACCTCAATCCTTGGGTGATACCAGATGAGAGACTCCCTCCTGGGCACACAGAAGACTGGGTGACTTGGAAGGCGCTGAACAGACTGCGCTCTGGCACCACGAGATGCAGAGCCAACCTTAAGAAATGGGGCTACAAAGTGGAATCCTCGACATGCGAGTGTGGAGAGGAGCAAACCACTGACCACCTGCTGCAATGCAACCTGAGCCCTGCCACATGCACAATGGAGGACCTTCTTGCGGCAACACCAGAGGCACTCCAAGTGGCCAGATACTGGTCAAAGGACATTTAATCAACTACCAAGTTTGCAAAATCTGTGGTTTTTTTAAATCTGTTTGTTTGTTTTGTTCTGTTAGAAATGTAATACAATGGTATGGTTGCTGATGACATGATAAATAAATATGTGAATTGTGGGAGTTGAAGTCTGTTATTATTACTATTATTATTAATTTACTATTTTACTCTATTTATTATTATTAATAATAATAATAATAATTTTACATTATTTTACTCTATTATTTTTATTATTTTATTTTACTCTTATTATTATTATATTTACATTATTTTACTCTGTTATTTTACTCTATAATTATATTTGTTATTTTACTCTATTTATTATGTTGCATTTACATTACTCTATTTTAATCAAATTTAGTATTTTACTCTATTTATTACTATTATTTGAAACACAACAAGACGAGTCCACAGCAAACACAATCACTCTGCTGGCTGTTGTATTGGATCACAAGTCGGACACTTCCCAAGTGTCTAGGACTGTGTGATGTATCGGCGAATAATGCGTGCAGAATCTGAGTTGGGTAGCCTTTTGCAGCTGGCAGATGGTAATTTTGTCAGCGCCGATTGTGTTTAAGTGCAGGCCAAGGTCTTTAGGCACTGCACCCACTGTGCTGATAACCACTTGGACCACCTTTACTAGCTTGTGCCAAAGTCTTATTATTTGTTGTTGTTGTTGTTATTATTATTATTATCACATTTATTATTTTACTTTATTTATTATTATTCTTACATTTATTATTTTACTGCATTATTATTATTATTATTACATTTATTATTGTTGTTGGACAGTCTTATCTTAAATTACAGTTTTATGTAAACATTCAAAACATTTAATCTATGGATGCTGCAATTATTTTAATTTTATTGGTATCTATTTTTATTTTGAAATTTACCAGTAGCTTGATGCATTTCCCACCTCGGCTTATACTCAAGTACATATAGTACTCCTAGGACAGTGATTTCATAGAAATGCGCACATATCCAGAACCAACGTATTACCAGGCTTGCGGAGTTTGGTGGGTTCTCCTTTCAGGGATGCATGAGGCCTAAGAAGATGCATCATATCTCTCCCAGCCACCCATTTCTCCATGCTTTCTCTCCATGCCACCATGAGCATGTTTAGAAAGGATCCAGAACATACAGATTCCATAAAGAGAGGGGTGAATATACCTCTAGAAGGGCAAGGAGGAAACAGCAGGAGCTCACCTGTTGCACGGCTTTGTCGGCCAACAGCGCAAATTCGACAGAGAGGCCTCTCAGAGCCTGCTTGAGATTGCCCCAAGCGCTATTGTTCAAAGCGGCCCAGGAAGGGAGCGGAGTTGTGTCGGAGCCTAAAGCACTAGAGGAAGAAAATAAGCCGTTATTAAGATCTAGCGAGTGTTGGGATTCAGCCCCACACTGCTCAAGTCCTCAATGAGGAACAGTTTAGTTAGTTTAGCGTAAAAATGTGTATGTGTGTATGTGTAAGGTGTCCACTTAGAAAGACAGCCTCCTGCCTGCACAAACAGGCTACAGTTCCAAGTGCTGAGAAGCCTCCAAAGGCACTCTCTTCACTGACATTGCAGGTTATAGCAGGCGACATGAACATGTCACTCAAACCCTGCCAAGGTCCTCCACAATCAATACAACCCACCACCCAAGGAATGCTTTCACTCAGGGATAATTTCATCCTATATTTGACATTTTTCCTCCACCACAGGCAGGCATCCCAGCATTCCCTGTGTGGAATTTGCATAATCCTGCCCACTGCCTCTCCTTAATTAACCCTTTTCTACCCTGTCCTATGACACACAGCAAACAGAGAAATTGATCGTGGCAGGGTTTGGAGGTGATTGCCCTGGGAATCTGGGAGTTGTAGTTCACCCTTATCTAAAAAACACTGAACCCAGCCAACGATGAATCTGGACCAAACTTGACACACAGACTCAACATAGTCAACTGTGAATACTGGCTGGTTTGGGGGTGACTTACCTGGGAATCTGGGAGTTGCAGTTCACCCTTATCCAGAGAGCATTGGACCCAGCTGATATAGGATCTGGACCACACTTGGCACACAGACCTAACAGGCCAAATGTGAATACTGGCTGGGTTTGGGAGTGACTTACCTGGGAATCTGGGAGTAGTAGTTCACCCTTAGCCAGAAAACACTGAACCCAGCCAACGATAAATTTGGTCCAGATTCACAGACTCAACATGGCCTACTGTGAATACTGGCTGGTTTGGGGGTGACTTACCTGGGAATCTGGGAGTTGCAGTTCACCCTTATCCAGAGAGCATTGGACCCAGCTGATATAGGATCTGGACCACACTTGGCACACAGACCCAACATGGCCAAATGTGAATACTGGCTGGGTTTGGGGGTGATTACCCTGGGAATCTGGGAGTTGTAGTTCACCCTTATCCAGAGAGCACTGGACTCAGCTGATATCATATCTGGACCACACTTGGCACACAGATCCAACATGGGCAGCTATGAATACTGGCTGGGTTTGGGGATGATTACCCTGGGAATCTGGGAGTTGTAGTTCACCCTTATCCAGAGAGCACTGGACCCAGCTGATATCGGATCTGGACCACACTTGGCACACAGACCCAACATGGCCAACTTTGAAAAATAGTAAGGTTTGGGAAGGATTGACCCATGATTCTGGGAATTGTAGTTCACCCACATCCTTGTGCATTTGTAATGGGAGCATTCATAAAAAACAAAATGAAAGACTGGAGTTATACATTACAAACTCTCTTTCTGTGCGCCATTTTTCATGATTCAAAAAATCTCCAGAAAATTGCTACCTGCCATATAAGGGGAACCTCAATTCGCAGGAGGAAAGGGTTACCCCACATCCCTCATCACAACAGTCTAAATTCAGATCCGTTGTCCACTGCCACTATTTGCCAAAATGTAAAGCGACAGGTGATCTAGTTATAGACCTCCTTCTTTATCTTTATTTGGGGGCTGCAAAAATTCTCTCAGTTTAAATCCATTTACCTTAGTTCCTTCCCAAAAATGAGGAGGTCAGCAGCATTGTCAACTGCTCGGGAGGCTATTCTCTCCGCTCGGTCCCGCAGTTTGTAAAAGCTATTGTAGATGTTTCGGATCAGCTCCCTGCTGGCAGCAAACTGTGCCTGGATGTCAGCTGGCAGGAAATCCTAAAAAAGCACAAGAGAGGTCAACTGGTCCTAAAAGAGCTTCAGCCAGCTGCCAAATGCATAAAGAACACATCACAAAAGAAACAATGTGCCTGCAAGCTCAGAGGAAAAGGAGAATGTGTCAATCATAGATATCTTTACAATTCCCCACACAAAACAATGTTCAAAGCAACAGGAGGTTGTGCAGAAATCCCAAGTGACTAATGCAACAAACTCGCATTGATGTATTGGGCACCAGGCAACGTGGATCATCTATTTTTGAGTCATAGGATGAGGTAAGTGGCAAGTATGAGAAATTGGATGGCATTTTGCTAGGGTTACATCTGAACATAAACATCATGGGTGGGGACATAGCGTGGCTGTAGATCAAGAAACCTAAGGATCAAACTGGACAACAAATTGGAGATATGTAATAATATATCTCATTTTTAGAGGTTTGCTGTAAGAGGGCCCACTCTTAATCAAGATTCCCAGGTTAAAGGAAAGTATTAATTCTACCCTGACCAAAGTTCTGCCATTAGGCTGATGGACACTGAAGTCCAAAGTATCCAGAGGACATTAAACTGGGGATTCTATTGTATAATGTGATAATATAGATATCGATATCACTTGTTGGCTTGACAGGTGTGCTATGTCCAAATTTGGTGTCAATTCGTCCAGTGGTTTTTGAGTTATGTTAATCCCACAAACAAACAAATAAAAATGTAATGTTTGTTTGTGGGATTAACGTAACTCAAAAACCACTGGACGAATTGACACCAAATTTGGACATAGCACACCTGTCAAGCCAACAAGTGACCATCACTCATGAAAACATTGAAAAACGCAGCAACAGAGACTTAAAAAGCTAAAACATAAAATTAAAAATACATAACATTACAATATATGCACATAACCAACAAGCTAACAAGTGACCATCACTCATAAAAACACTGAAAAACACAGTGGAAGAGACTTAAAAAGCAAAACAATAAAATAAAAATACATTACAACGCATGCGCAAAGCCACATATAAACACGCAAACACACATATACACATATATACTTGCACAAAACACATATAACCAGACTTGGCCACAGCAACACGTGGCAGGGGATGACTAGTTAATTATATATATTTTAATGCAGTGGTTCCTAACCTTTTGTTGACCAGGGATCACTCTCCAACATTAATACCAAAAGGGTTACAGATCAGTTTTTGGTCAACTTTATATTTGGCTTGGTTATTTGGGATGCTGATTCAGAAAATTGCATTGGGTAGACCACATCCTAAGAGACCGAAGAAACTGTCCTTTACGGCTTTAATAATAATAATGATGATGATAATGATAATAATAATAACTTTAGGGGACAAAACAGGGTCTTACAAAGGGCCCCTTTCCCATAACTATTCTTGTTTTTAGCCATGGGAACTAATAATAATAATAATAATAATAATAATAATAATAATAATAATAATAATAATAACAAAATCACGATTTGTCAACTGCAAAAATCCACCTTACTTGGATCTGCACGCATCATTCGAAAATACATCACACAGTCCTAGACGCTTGGGAAGTATTCGACTTGTGATTTTGTGATGTGAAATCCAGCATAGAGATCTTGTTTGCTGTGACATACTGTGGTTTTGTGTCAGTAAAATCGTAATGGTAATAATAATAAACTGGTGGGATCACAAGCCGGAAAAAGTTACAGAGAATGAACACGTCAAGCTACTCTGTGACTTCCAAATTCAGACTGAGTTTTGGAGCACAATACTCCTGACCGCACGATCGTGGAAAAACACAAAATATGGATTGTTGATGTTGCAATCCCAGGCATCAGCAGAAGCAACGAGAAGCAACCGGAAAAGCTTACGCGATATGAGGATTTAGAGACTGAACTGAAAAGACTCTGACACAAACCAGTAAAATTGGTCCCGATGATGATCGGCACACTGGGTGCAGTGCTTAAAGACCCTGGCCTGCACTTAAAAATAATTGGTTCTGACAAAATTACCATCTATCAGCTGCCAAAGGCTACCCTACTTATGATTTTAGTTATGAGACGCTAGTGAGTTGTTTACTGATGTTTAGATGGTTATTGATGTTACTTGCTTACTGTATTATTGTGTTAATTGTTTTTTAAATGGCTGTATGGTGTTGCACTGAATTTTTGCCGCTACTTGTTGTTAACCGCTCTGAGTCGCCTAATGGCTGAGAAGAGTGGTATACAAATAAAGTAAGTAAATAAATAAATAAAAATGCTCAGATCTATATACATAATTCGCCGATACATCACACAGTCCTAGACACTTGGGAGGTGTCCAACGTGTAATTGAACACAGAAGCCAGCATAGTGATCTTGTTTGCTGTGTACTCATCTTGTTATGTATCAAATAATAATAATAATAATAATAATAATAACAACAACAACTTTGAGGGCCTAAACGGGGTATTAAAAAGGGCTGCTTTCCCATTACAACTGATGTGAGGCAATGGGAGCTAATTAATAATAATAATAATAATAATAATAATAATAATAAATCACAGTCCTAGACGCTTGGGAAGTGTTCAACTTGTGATTTTGTGATATGAAATCCAGCATATAGGTCTCGTTTGCTGTGACATACTGTGCTTTTGTGTCAAATAATAATAATAACAGCACCAACAACAACTTTGAGGGACTAAATGGTATTAAAAAGGGCTGCTTTCCCATTACAACTGATGTGAGGCAATGGGAAATAATAACAATAACAATAACAATAACAATAATAATAATAATAATAATAAATCACACAGTCCTAGACACTTGGGAAATGTTCGACTTGTGATTTTGTGATACGAAATCCAGCATATAGATCTCGTTTGCTGTGACACACTGTGCTTTTGTGTCAAATAATAATAACAACAGCAACAACAACAACTTTGAGGGGCTAAACGGTATTAAAAAGGGCTGCTTTCCCATTACAACTGATGTGAGGCAATGGGAGCTAATAATAATAATAATAATAATAATAAATCACAGTCCTAGATGCTTGGGAAGTGTTTGACTTGTGATTTTGTGATATGAAATCCAGCATATAGATCTCGTTTGCTGTGACATACTGTGCTTTTGTGTCAGTAAAATAATAATAATAATAATAATAATAATAGCAACAACAACAACAACTTTGAGGGACTCTTCTCTCTCTCTCTCTTTCTCCCTAGGCAAAGTGCTGGCTTCTCCCTTCCTTCCTTCCTTCCTTCCTTCCTTCCTTCCTTCCTTCCTTCCTTCCTTCCTTCCTTCTTTTCCTCTCCTTCTCTCTCTTGCTCTACTCCAATGGTGGCATGAACACCCCCGTCGCATACACAGTAGCAGTCCATCCGTGTGTCCCCCACCGCATGTCTCACAGACCTTATTTTAGGTCTCACGGCCCACAGGTTAGGAACCACTGTTGTAATAAGTTGAATTGGTATGCCCTTCATTACATGAAATCGACAATTCGCAACTTCTTAGATGAAACTTCTAAGAAATTGATCAAAGTGTATGAAATTTCAACCAGCAGCTCTCCTTATCACAGAAAAAGCTTTGGAAATTTCATGTTAAAACAATGCCACCTGTTTTCCAAATAGGTAGAAGGCTCCCGATATTACACAGCTTAGAGGATACCTTGGCCTGAGTTGCTACTTTGCAAATCATGAATTCGTCTCCCACGCCCTGCACCAACTCTCTCAGCTTGTTTTGCACATCCTGGAAAAACAGGAGAAAAGAGATTTTTTACAATACAAAACAAAAAGAAAAGGAGTCTTTTTTTAAAAAAAAAAAAGCAGTCAGGTGATTTATCTGCAATCAGCATCTGACCAGAGTTTTTGCTTCTCTCAGCAAGTGTTCCAACATTTAATTGCTTCTGCTTGGAGTAGAGGGCAGGCAAAGAGGAAACTGACCTCTCACACCAAATCCAGGCTGGAAACAAAGCTGACTCCAAGCTTTTTGTGGGAAAGAGATCTTCAGGACCAACTCCCTCCATTTTTTTTCTTGTCAGGAGCAACTTCGGAAACTGCAAGTTGCTTCTGGTGTGAGAGAATTGGCTGTCTGCAAGGACGTTGCCCAGGGGACACCAGGATGTTTTGATGCTTTATCATCCTTGTGGGAGGCTTCTCTCATGTTTCTGCCTGGGGAGCTGGAGATGATAGAGGGAGCTCATCCACGATCTCCCCGGATTCGAACATATGACCTGGTTGCAGGTTCCAATCCAGGGAGAGTGTGGATGAGCTCCCTCTATCAGCTCCAGCTTCCCACTGCAGGGACATGAGAGAAGCCTCCCACAAGGACGGTAAATATCAAAACATCCTCGTGGACATGTTAAACATGAGCCAACAACGTGATGTGGCGGCAAAAAAAGCCAATGGGATTTTGGCCTGCATCAAGAGGAGCATAGTGTCTAGATCTAGGGAAGTCATGCTACCCCTCTATTCTGCTTTGGTTAGACCACACCTGGAATATTGTGTCCAATTCTGGGCACCACAATTCAAGAGAGATATTGACAAGCTGGAATGTGTCCAGAGGAGGGCGACTAAAATGATCAAGGGTCTGGAGAACAAGCCCTATGAGGAGCTAGCCATGTATAAATATGTGAGAGGAAGCCACAGGGAGGAGGGAGCAAGCTTGTTTTCTGCTTCCTTGGATATGTAGAAGGGAAGTCATAGGGAGGTGGGAGCAGGCTTGTTTTCTGAGGCCCTGGGGACTAGACTACGGAGCAATGGCTTCAAACTACAAGAGAGGAGATTCCATCTGAACATGAGGAAGAACTTCCTGACTGTGAGAGCCGTTCAGCAGTGGAACTCTCTGCCCCGGAGTGTGGTGGAGGCTCCTTCTTTGGAAGCTTTTAAACAGAGGCTGGATGGCCATCTGTCAGGGGTGATTTGAATGCAATATTCCTGCTTCTTGGCAGAATGGGGTTGGACTGGATGGCCCATGAGGTCTCTTCCAACTCTTTGATTCTATGATTCTATGAACAATAGTAAATATAATAGATATAGTTTAGGTATTAGGCATAATATATGTTAGCATACCACAGTCAGATAACAGTGGGAAGTCACTTTGGGTGGTGGGCAATAGTGTTTGTGGAGGACATACACACATTTTTGTGTCCCATTTTGGGTGGGTTTGGGGGAGCTGTGGAGGCTAGTGCAAGAGTAGCATCCAATTAGCAGCTTTTCCCTATCAATTATCAATTGATTAACATAAATATGCTTTTAGGTCAATACCAATATCTTCTGTCCAGACTTGGCATGTATTTATATCCCCCTCCCAGCCTTAGAAGATCCACCAGTGCAATATTAATCTCTAAATGTGAAACATGTAAACACATTTGTGACTTTATTGCACCGATGTGCCTCTTGTGCATGAGTACAACGTCAGGGTGCAGAGGATTTATTATTTTCACATCCATTTTTTTTGTGACGTGAGCCCAGGTCATTTATTATTTTTATTCTCCAATTAGTATTTTGAGAGAGCTCCGTCGTGTTTCATACCTTTTCTGTTGATTTGGTTGCATTGCTCATATTTTAATCATCACAGTGATCAATACAAGCATGAATCACCAACGACAGTGAGCATAAATGTAAACTTCATCTATCAGGTAGAGGTTACACTCTCCAACTGTGAACTCTCTTGCTTGCTGTGAGTTGCAATTATTGAGGCAAGGACTCCATCAGTTATGTAAGAGAGCCAAAGAAAACACAGTCTCTTCTTATTGTAGCAATTTGCCTCCAGCATTTAATGATCAAGCAAGGGCAAGTCAACAGTGGTTGCTAAATTTGTGGTCAGTCGGGAGCAGAAATGATCCGGACTAGCCCTGGAGAGAGCGAGACACACCTGGCTGAACCCAATGTGGCTCCATGTTGGCATCCACATGGTCCAACCAGAATGGGTCCGCATGAATTAGGACAAAATATTTCCAAGTTCTTCATTTTTTTACTGCGGCATTCTCTTTTTCTTAGAATCATAGAGTTGGAAGAGACCTCATGGGCCATCCAGTCCAACCCCATGTCAAGAAGCAGAAAAATCGCATTCAAAGCACTCCCAAAAGATGGTCATCCAGCCTCTGTTCTGATGGATATCCAAGCTTCCACCGTCGTAACCTATATTTATCAGCTAATTGGTGATGACGTCAAAGTCGAAAGAATCGAGTACAAGAAATCTTAAAGGACGTCCCTCAACCTACCTATTTTCCTTTTTACCCCAGTATGCACCTGAAGTTCCAGTTTTTGCGATATTTACATATGAGTGCTTTAACTGGAGGTCAGCTGTGACCAGCAATGCTGTGGAATCATAGAATCATAGAGTTGGAAGAGACCTCATGGGCCATCCAGTCCAACCCCGTGCCAAGAAGCAGAAAAATCACATTCAAGGCACTCCCAAAAGATGGTCATCCAGCCTCTGTTTAAAAGCCTCCAAAGAAGAAGCCTTCACCACACTCCAGGGCAGAGAGTTCCACTGCTGAACAGCTCTCACAGTTAGGAAGTTCTTCCTCATGTTCAGATGGAATCTCCTTTTTTGTAGTTTGAAGCCATTGCTCCGTAGTCTAGTCCCCAGGGCCTCAGAAAACAACCCTGCTCCCTCGTCCCTATGACTTCCCTTCTACATATCTAATAATAATAATAATAATAATAATAATAATAATAATAATAATCCTTTATTTATACCTCGCTACCATCTCCCGCAGGACTCGGTGCGGCTTACAAGAGGCCGAGCCCAAATACATCAATAAAACACAACAACAATACAACAATAAATAACTCATAACAAAGCAAAACAATAACAATAATATCACGACGCATTTAAAAACCTAAAGTTGTTAATGTTTCTTCCAGTAATTTTAACTCCAGCCTTGGGGAGTATTTCTAAGTGCAAAGATTACTGAAGATGCTGACTGCAGCCAGGATATCAGAAGACATTTACTTCTTGGGAGGAGAGCAATGACCAATCTCGATAAAATACTGAAGAGTAGAGACATTGCACTGGCAACAAAGATCTGCATAGTTAAAGCAATGGTATTCCCTGTAGTAACCTACAGATGTGAGAGCTG